ATCGTCAGCTTCATACCTGCTTCCAGATGGATGGTCACCTGTGCAAGCTCAATGCCTGCAACAAGCGCCGGTCCTGTCTCTACCTGTATCTCATCCCTGATGAGGATTAATACACCACCACGACAGGTGCGAGCTATCCCACAATGTTGGAAACCAGGGAGTCCAAAACTAGCAGCCTCAGAGGGGGGGGGCATTTTTGTCTCACACAACAGGCAGAACGTGATACCATCACCGTAGAGCTGTTTACCCAAGGCTAGGCGTTTCGCCTGCATTAGCCCAGCTGAGTTCCATTGCATGCCCCTCAATGTAGGGCCGGGATTCTCTTCCACATTTCCACTAAGCAGTAACTTGGTGCGGATGATGCTGCTGACGGCGCGGCAACATGTACCCCAAGACCGACAAGGATAATACTGTGTCCCAGCAAGACGCGGCGGGTCCTGGTACTGTGTGATGCCGTAAGCCGGGCGCCGCAAAGTTCTCCAGGTGGCGAACGTTGCTGGCGCTTGGCTTCCCCCGACAATACGGGGTGCTGGACCTTGGTGCCACGATGGGGTGGCCGGCATCACGAAGGTGTTGCCCTTCTAAAACGCAGGGTACGCACGCCGCACCACGTGTATGTAGGGGGTGTTACTTTAGAATAAAGGAAAAAGAGCTGGGTGTCGCCAAAAGTGGGCGGCATGTAATAGANACGCACGCCGCACCACGTGTATGTAGGGGGTGTTACTTTAGAATAAAGGAAAAAGAGCTGGGTGTCGCCAAAAGTGGGCGGCATGTAATAGAAAGCGCAGCACCCAGCAAGCTTGGCTTCTTCCAAGCATCCCGGCGCACCGCCGAAACAATTACAAGCACATGCCTAAATAAGGAGGTGAAATGGCACGCACCGCAGCGTTTGGCGCAAATACAAATAACAGATCATGACTGATTGGTGGAAGGGTGTGAAGGGATTATGCACCGTTGCTCCTCAGTTGCTCAGATGATGATGTCTTTTCAAAACCAAACGTGCATATTTTACCTGGCCAATGTTTTCGGGCGAACGGCAGAGCAGCATCATAACACCGATTCTGCCAGGTGTGGAATTCCTTTTGCTTACCAGAAGGATATCAATGAACTTCTGAAAGCTTTAACATGTTTTGTTTTGAAAGACTGCGAAAGGAATGATCAAGCTTTACCCGATCTTGTTAACAGGAGATCCTGCAATCCATCATCATTCTTGTATTCATATCTTGCCGCTGGAAAGTCGCAAAGGGTAAGTTTTTTGAAATGAAAGGTAAGCCACAAGCGGGCGCAACGTTATCCACCACCACCAAGCAGGCCCTCTTGGACGTGGAACGGATGACGAGCCTCTCGGCTCTCAGGAGGTTCGTCGAACATTGTGGACGGACCCCCTTTTATTTCGAGTACAGACCGGATTTTAGTACACAGGTCAATTGCATCGAGGGCGTACTCACACTCGAGAACGGTGAACTGACCATTTATCTGGAGAATAGTGCTAAAGCCAGTTTCGTTTCTATGCGACACTCTATGGTGCCGTTTAACATGCCAAAGGATGAGGACGTTCTTAAGAATTTTGACGATGCACGGGCGACCTTCCGAACTGAGTGGATGGCACCGGAAGAAAGCAAGTCTATACTGTATCAGCAGTATGAAATGGCCAGGGCACAACTGGCGGAGGAAAATTTAAAGATCCAGCAGGACGCCTACGCTCAAACGGTTGGATCACACGATCGCATTAATCAAATGCAGCATCAGATTAACACGTTGGAATCGCAGAAAACTCAGTTGTGTGAGGAGAACAGCCAGATGCAAGATCGGATTAATCATATGCAAGCGTGGATTAACCAAAAAGAGAAACAGGGACTTCCAGCGCAGCGGGTGACAACAGAGGGTGAAAACAAATTTTTTTTTCACAAGATGCCCACACTGTGGCACATACCGCCAAGATGGGCGGGCATGCCGAACGGACATTTACGGCGCTGGGGGCCCAACCCAAGGTGGGGGCGCGAGGAATTCAAGAGCTAAGGAATAAGTTCGTGGAAAAGGGTTTCCGACCAGAAGAAAATATCCGGACCTTCGAGGGCGCCCTGGAGTATTTATTGGAGACCTCCAAAGAACAGCTGCTGGCGGCTTATCGGGGTCTTTTTCCCTTACCCATGAAGCCTGGACTTGGCCTTTGCCAGGCGTGGGGCAACTTCGTGGCATGGATTTATGCTATCCGCCACGAGGGCATTTCAGCTGAAGAGGCGCAACTGGGCAGACGGCTGTATTATCAGCTTCGGGTAGCTCAGGCGGCGAAATAAAACCCCGGCGTTAATAACCAAACTGCGGATTCCAGTGCCACAGCAAACACGGACTCACTAGGCACCGCATAGTCAGCCACGGATTCAGGCCGGACGTAGTAAAACCAAGCCAACGTGGACAGTGCGAAGAGACGAGCATGCACCTATTGAGCTGTCCCGCATTAAAGAGTCTACGCTGTCACTTTGGGGTGGATGGGGGAGACATGGGGAAGTTGTGCTTTATGCAGAAGTTGGCCAAATTCCTGCTTGCAGTGGAAAGATTTTGTCCTCAACGGCCTTTCTCGCCAGAACCGACGCCAACCATACAGGTCCAGGAATAGTCCTCTCTCCCCCTCTCAGCTTCATCTCCCCTCTGTATTTTTGTTGATCTCACGCAGAATGTGCTTCCCCCCTCAGAGAGCTAAGGCCAATGGGGCAAGTAGGCTTTCCCGGCCAAGTTGAGAGCACTGAGCCGATCGACCTCCAGCGCATGTTTTTCAATGGACCGGCACAACGAAACAGAGATCAAAAAACCAAAAACAACAAAACAAAAACAGAAAAACACCAAAAAAAACAAAATACATAGCAAAACAAAGGGACCTCCTTCCACATAGAAAATATGCAATAATGAACGTGCTCTACGATGGTGGCTAATGGAGCGGAGCCATTGACGAGAGTGATGAAGACACGAGGAAAAAAAAAAAGAAGGGCAACAACGCATATCTAAGCTAAATGCCCCGGCCCTCGGTGTGAAGCTCCGGGGTACAAGCCGTCCTTCGCAACGCCGCCGGCAGCCAAAGCGATATTGTACGCATGCCGGTCTCATGGCGGCGCCCTCGTTTTCCTCTAGATGGACGCAAGGGTTCCACCTTTTCAAGCACAGGAATTGTTTTTAAAAGCAATGCCACGCTGGAAAAAACCACTGCCTGCGTTGCTGTGCGGGTGCGGCCTTCAACCAAAAAAAACAACAGAGAAACGGAAGCACCCCGATTTACTTATATTACAACTCGGGGTTGGCAAAGGTGTTGAGTTAGTTCTTTAGAAAGCGTTAAACACATCTAGAAAACATGCCCATCAACAAAGTCAAGGGTCTCTTGCACCGCACCGCAATGAAGCAGATGCAAGCAGTTTGTTCATTGGCATGGGGTGCCTGCTGTTAATCTCCCCCAAAATGGTCATGGATAAACGCAACAAGGAATTCCCAATTCCGATGCAACATCTCGCGCACCACAGCCGGGCGCGTGCCCTCTCTAAACCTTTAATGCCAATTTTGGTGTCGGGCTTTCCCTTGCCCAGCCGATGCGCAGCACTGCGAGGACCGCCGCTTCCAGCATCCCATGGTAAAGTGGGGCGAAACAAAAATAAGGTAGACTAATTTTTTACCAAAAATCTTCTTTGCCCAGGGCTTCGCATGACGAATTGCAGAAACATGGGACACTGACGGACTCCATCAAACATCACAACGAAAACGTGTAGAACCTAAGCTGCTCCAACTACCAGCTCTAGACAGAGTGTTGCCGCGGCTGAATTTGTTCATTTCTACCTTTCTTGGATTCCAATTCCTCCAGAGTTTCACTTCCTATTAAAATCCATGCCGTATACACAAAGACATTTAGGATAGAATAGAAAGCCAGAGCACCTGTTGGATATTTTTCCTTCTGCCTTATTTAACAACCCAATACAGTTTTCCACATCGCACCCCAGCCACCACCCCATCACTTTTTTAGTCTTACCAAAGACTCTCTCAGTCGTTGGCTCGTGTGGAATCCTCTAACTCTGCGAATTGAGATGCGTTAGCAAAAGTCACTTCACTCTATTTCTGTGCCGCTCATTCGTTGTATTTTCCCGAGTGCGCGCCGCCTTTTCTTTCAAATTTTTCCCCCTCTATATCGCCCAGCCGGATCACATGCCCTTTTTTCCTTTAGTTTCTCAAATGTTTTTGTGCCTTGTCTGAAGTCAGCTGCTAAGATTCACTCCCAACTTGGCTGCTAATCTTCATCGGGAAACCCTTGTAGACGGCAACGCTTATAAAGCTGTGGCGCTGATGCCAGTTAAGAAGACAATGCATGCTTTATCCATTGGGAGCGGGGAGGGCACACACAATCCATTCCTTACTGGTGATCTTTAAAAGCTCGGCAATAGTAACGTCAAGGAAGGCATGCAACTCTATTCCTACTTTCCAAACGTGCATAGCAAAGAAAAGCCGTTCCGCCCCACATGGATGTCGTCCGAGCACCCAAAAAGTTTCTTAAACCCATTTAAAATATGGTTACCCGATGGCTCGCCACCACCCCTATTAGATTCGCTGCTTTCATCACATTGGTGTGGGTATTTCTGCCACGACCCCTGGAGTGCAGAAGGGGACCGAGTGAGAACTCATTCCTCCCTTTGTTGTCATCGCTTTCTTGGCAGAACGTCGCTCATAATTTTGAAGCCAGCAACAGTCTCACGGTGTTTTGGGGTATTATAGTTAAACAACTTTGTTTCATCCACGCATCAATCGGCCCCCTTTCTTCACCCGCCAAGGCGCTGCAGCTTCAGCTTTGGCACCGTCTACGCTTCCAGCTTGCGCGCCTTGCCATCGTCCTAAGCATCCGGACAGCACGTCGAATGCCCTGCGTGGCCCCACTTCCTCTGTAACCTAATGGTGGCGGGCCCTTGTTGA